GAGGAGGCAGAAATCTTTAATAAATGAATAAATAAATAAATAAATAAATAAATAAATAAATAAATAAATAAATAAATAAATAAATAAATAAATAAACAATATTACTAAGCTTAGTGTGCTTCACATTTCCCATGTAAGCAGCCTTTTACCACTTAATCTAAAAGCATGGCTTTAGCATTAAACTATGTATTCTTCCACATACCTGCCCAAGAATATGTGTGTATGTGGTGATTGTAGTGATATTTTGTTCATGTTTTAACAAATAAAGCTTGCTTGAAGATCAAAAAAAAAATAAATACAATGACTTTCTTCATAGAACTAGGGAAAATACTAAAATTATATGGAAGCACAAAATATTTCAACATCCAAAGCAATCCTAAATATAAATAATAATACTGTATAGATAATAATGCCTGCCCTCAAATTCTACTACCAAGCCATTGTAAAAAAAACAACATGGTACTGCCACAAAAGCATACTTGCAGATCAACTGGATAGAATATATAGTGCAGAAATAAAGTCATACAGCTACAGTCACTTAATCCTTGACACAGTTGTGAAAACATGTATTTGGTGGGACAACCTCTCTAATAAATAACATTAGGAAAATATATCCACTTGTGAAAGAATAAAAGTAGATCTACCTCACACTCTTCACAAAAATCAATTCAAAATGGATCAAATACATTCATGTAAAATGTGAAACTTTACATCTGGTAGAGGCAAACAGAAAACATATTTCAAGAGATAGGTACAGGCAGAAACTTTCTGAACAAGGTCTATACTAGCACAGGAAATAACATCCCCCATTCCAAAAAATGACAAGAAAGATTGCATTAAATTAAAAAGCCTCTGCACAGAAAGGGGACAGTTAATTGAGTGAAGAGATGACCGAAAGAAAAGGAGAAAATCATTGTTAGCTCTGTGTGTGTGTGTGTGTGTGTGTGTGTGTGTGTGTGTGTGTGTCTATGTATGGACACACAGAGAGAGAAAAAGTGTGGATGTAAGTGTGGAAGAAAAGGGGGGATGGAGAGAGGGGACTAGTATCTATAACATAAAATAATTGTGTAAATGTGAAAAATAAACCAGTTTAATGAAGAAGAAGCTAATGAAGTAGACAGCTCTCAAAAGAAAGAATTCAAATGTTCAACAAACATTTGCAAGTTTGTTCTGCACATTTAGCCATCAGGTAAATGCAAAATAAAATTTGCATTGATTTAATGTAGTCCCATCTGTTGATACTTGGCACTAGTTGCTGTGTTGCTAATGTATCATAATAGTTAACTTTAAATTATAAAATAGAGCTACATTGATTAAAAACAGCTTGGTTCTAGCATCAAAGCAGACAGGTAGGGCAATGGAATAGAACAGAGGACCCACAAATAAGCAGACAAAGGTATGTCCACCATATTTTTGACAAAGGCTACAAGACATGCACTGGACAAAAGATTGCTCATGCACCAAATGCTGGGAAAACCAGACAACCACCTGCAGAAGAATGAAATTAGATTTATATTTTTTACCTCCTATAAAATTCACTTTGAAACAGACTGAAGACTTAAATTTCAATCTGAAACATCAAAACTTTTAGACAAAAGCATAATCTTCAAGATGCTGGCAGACTTCATTGACTCTTCAAGAGAGGCCTTATTCCCTCTGAGGAGTAGATGATGGCGGGATGGGGGAGAGCTGAGGGATAGAAGAAGAGAGAGGGAAAACTCGTGTAGGCATGTAAAATAAAACAAATTTAAAATAACAAAGACATTGACGAGGACTCGCGGATATGCAGGGCAATGAAACATTTATACAATGCTAGAAGTAGTAAGAGTCCAGCCTATATAGAAGTTAGTTTGGTAGTTCCTCGAAATGTACCTATTGGTATTGCTGAACTCACCATAAGCTTTGTTGGTATAGCAAAAGGAAGTCAAGTTAGGAGTGATATGGAAGCTTTATCCCAGTTGGCATAGCTTTCATAGTGCCATATGGTGCTATCAAGGATAGCAGGGGAATTGTTAACAACCAGTTTTGTTCAACTGTGTACTCTGCATGCTACACTGCAGAACTGCATGGTGGTGTGCATCTATTGGTATAACAGAGGCAAACATGTTATGGGAATAATGAACTGCTTTCTATTTGGACTGCCTACACATCATAGAACCCATATCTGATACTTCAAATGAAACCAAAAGTCCAGGACCACAGTGTGACTCTCTCCTTTTGGAAAGAGGTGGGTAGAGATACAGATAGAAATTTAAAGCTGAATAATCTACCTGCATAATATAATACTAATAACTAATCTTCTACACACTATGCATTGTGCTAACCCTTTCTCATAGACTCCAGATCAGAATTACTGCTTTTGCTTGTCCTATTAAACAGTCATGGAAACTGGGACACAAAAAGAGCCAATCATCTTGCTAAGGGGTATCTGTCATGTACACGTGTCAATATTATCTCATGTACTAAGTGTGTAAGCAAGGAGTTGACTAATGACTGGTCCAGTACGGCTGTACATATATATGCATATTCCTCTGTATATTTCTTCATATTCCATTCATGTAGGTGTGATCTTAGGTATATGTGTAAATATATTTGCATGTATAGGATGCATGAGTAGTTGTATGTGGATGCTAAGATTAAATTCTTAAGCCCTAAAGTCATTTATTCTTACTTGCCATTTAATCTTCAAATGACTGATTCTCCCACATGAGTATTCATCATCATTAGCCCTGATTAGCTTCAAGACTAGATGATATTGTGTATAATAGGGGTGGTAACGGTGCAGAACAAGCATCTGTCTTTCTGAGCCCAATTGCTCCCCATTAGATGCAGTACAATAATTATAATTATGCCTATTTCAAAGTATTTTTGAAAAGGTTCAGTCTATTAACCTAAATAAAGTGCCATCTAATTTTAAAAAGGTGATATAATGACTATGTGACCAACATACCATTCCTAATAATTCTAAATCAATGTGACATAGAGATATTTGTACACCCCTGTTTATTGCACCACTGGTTACAACTGTCAATCTATTAAACCAGCCTATACATCTATAAATAAATAAATGGATAAGCCAAATATGATGTGTAAATACATGAGTTTGATTGAGCCACAATAAAAAATAAAGTTATGCTATTTGCAAGACAATGGATGCAAAATGGAGATACATAATCTTATTAAGTGAAGTAATTCAGAATAAGAAAGAAAAATATTGCATGTTTTCACTCATTGGTGGGTCCTAGATATTGTAGCAACATAAAGATATGAGAGTGGGACACCAGCAATGGTTGTGCATGCCTGTAATCCCAGCTCTTGGGAGACAGAAGCAGGTGGATCTCTGTGGAATGTTCAAAACACAACAGGTAAGATACTTTAATGAAATTGTCTTTGTGAAACCATTCACTATAGCAAATGAATATAAGTCTATAAAAACTTGTAAAGTATTTTTAAAGTTGTGAAATGTATCCTATCTGCAGTTAAACTTAGATTCCAATTTAAAAGTAACCAGTTTAACAGAGTAAGTGGTTGTATTCAAAGGTGCTTCTACATACTATTTTAATAATATAAATTATAGTGATTCTTTTTTGTTTTCTTGGTTTTTTATGAATGGTTTTGAAATTTTGGGGGGTTTATGGCTTTATTTTGTTATGAACTCGCACTGAATTACCCATACTGGTCTGAGTCCTCTAGGCTCAAGGGATTCCCACACTTCAGTCTCCCAAGGATTTAGAGGCATAGGCAGGTGCCATTGTGTCCAGTTAACAATGAGTTGCTATGGAAAGAAACAAAATGCAATGCTGGTTTTGTCAGTTTGGATCCTGTCCTTGAATATCTGACATCCTCATACCACCATTCACTTTATCAAATGCAAAACAGTGTCTGAGAGACAAGGCCAATCCATGAAACAGAAACGTTAATTTGCTTATTTGCACACTACAAACAGACATTAGTTTGCCTGCATTCTGTAGACAGATGAAGTCTTAGAGAACAGGAGGGTACTTCATAAAGATATTTCTGATTCCACTGCAAGGTCCTTTTATTTCCCTCCAAAGTCTTTAAATATGTAAGAAAAACATCAGTCATCTGTCAAGCTGCCATTACAAGCAACATTCTCCAGCAGGTAAAAAAAAAAAAAAAATCTAAAATAGCTGCAACAAGACCAAACTTGAGGGTCCATAGACATGCCGACTATAGTTGAAGGTATTCTTCTTTGTTTTGCAACAAGTGCGTCAGTGCTAGGAGTCCTAGTGAATGGGTTTATCCTGCATAAAACCTGCATTGACTATGTCAGGCAGAAGTGCTCCAAGATCAGGTTCATTCTCACAGGCTTGGCTATTTCCAGAATCTGTGTCCTAGGTGTACTCATTGTTGATGGATATTTAAAATTATTTTCTCCACATATGGTTGCCTCTGACACCCACATTACATGTGTTACTTATCTGTGGATAATTATCAATCACATAAGTACATGGTTTGCCACCAGCCTCAACCTCTTCTATCTGCTGAAGATAGCAAATTTTTCTCACTACATCTTTCTCTTCTTGAAGAGAAGAATTAATACGATGTTTATCCTTCTTCTGGGATGCTTGTTTATATCATGGTCAATTTCTTTTCCACAAATAATGAAGATGTTTAATGATAACACGCAACGCAGAAATACATCCTGGAGGCTTCATCTTCTTAAAAGTGAGTTCCTTATAAACCATATTGGTGTCAATCTGGGAATCTTTTTCTTCTTTATGATGACTATCATTATATGTTTCCTAATAATTATTTCAATTTGGAGGCACAACAAGCAGATGAAGTTGAATGTCTCAGGATTCAATAACACAGAAGTTCATGTGAAAGCCATGAAAGTTTTAATTTCTTTTATTATCCTGTTTATCTTGCATTTCATAGGTGTTTTCATAGAAACTCTGGGCTTTTTCAGATCAGGAAATAAATTGCTGCCTGCTTTGGGTTTGGCAATTGCATGCATATATCCTTGCTGTCACTCATTCATCCTAATTCTAGCAAATAGCCAGCTGAAGCAAGCATCTTTGAGGGCACTGAACCAATTAAAGTGCTGTGGGAAAGGCACGGATGTCAAAACAACATGGCAGACTTAGAGAGAAATGGGTGGTCACAGAAAAAAAGCCTGCTGTGGAGATCTCTGAAGACAGTTCTCACTATGTTCTAGCATTGATTTAAAAGCAAAATCAAAACAAAAAAACTCTTACCTGACATTATGGAAATCTTTCCCCCCTTGAGACTGGAGAGATGGTTCAGCTTTAACGAGCATATACAACTCTCTATTTTGTTCTTTATTTGTTTGGTTTGGGAGGTTTTGAGACAGGGATTCTCTGTGTAGCCCTATCTGTCCTGGAACTTGATCTGTAGACTACGCTGGGCTCGACCTCAGAGATCTGCCTACCTCTGTCTCCCCAGTACTGGGATTAAACTTGTGTGCCATCACACCTGGCTCTTCAATTGTTTATAATATATGTCAAAAAAAAAAAACCTCATGATGGACTTTTAATTCATGTGCAAATTCAGTCTCCCGACCTTGCCACTTCTTCCTACACATTATCCAAAGGAAAAATGTCTGACTAGATATTATCCCTTATAAAACCCTTCAGCATGTGGTTAGACACCTAAAACAAGGCATGGCATTAGGGTTCATCTGACTTCTGTGAAGCACTGATACCCTCTCCCCAGGAAGGCTCAAGGGAAAAACAAAGCCGGACAGTTACATTCATACTTGATATTTAGTACACGAAGCTGGGGAAAGCAGTTGTTGCTTTTTTGTGTGAATACAGCTTTACTTTTTACAAAGTAACTTTTGCTTTCACTGTTTAAATCCTCCATATCTTTCCTGCTGGGAGAAAATTTGATGTAGTCCCAAAGATATTAATAACATATGGATGTAACTCTAAAAAAACAACCAGGGGAACAGTTTATTTGAAGGAGAGGAGAGCAGAACATCAGAAAGGGAGCCTACACTCTTCAGAGGCTGTGATTTCAGATAATGAAGTGAATGAATGAATGAATCGAAGTTGAAGGAAGATTCTGCTGGAGCAGATGTTAAGAACTTCATAGCTGCCTTTGCCCAAGAGACAAATGACTGTTGAATGTGATTATAGTATGAAATTTTCCACCACAAACACATTCACAGATGTATTTAAAATGAAGATTTTTAAGTGAATTTTTATTTCCAAACCAGCATTACATCAGTGTCTTGTTCAGTTCATTTAAAAATATATGTGGAACTTACACTTATAAAATGATGGCTGAACACTTCTAGATATAAAGGCTTAATGTGCTTTCTGTGTGAAGTTTTGTAATCAATATTTTCATGTTTCTGTCTAATATGGTGGAATGGACAAATTTTATACAATGGGTTTTTTATTTTTATGTATATGGTTATTTGCTTGTATCTATGTTTGAGTACCACATGTGGCCCTTGTGTCCAGAGAAGCCAGAAGGTGCTGTTGGATTCCCTGGCACTGAAATATACTATAGATGGTTGTGAACCACCAAGTGGGTGCTGGAACTGAACCCAGGTCTCTGTAAGAGAAGCATGTGTTCTAAAGCACAGAACTCTCTGCTCCGTCCGAGAATAACTTTTTGAATCTTGAATTTCACTAAACGATTTTTAAAAGTTTTATAAGATCAGTTAAAAATGTATAATACTGTCTTGGCATATGTGTCCTGAATATTAATTATATTAGCATATAATTAATTTTCATTCCAATTTTTAAAATTATCAATAAATTTTCACTTATATTAAGTTGATTATATTTAGTGTGTCTTGATTTCCACTGTTTCAAATAAATATAAAATGACTATCATGAGGCATGAATGCTATACACAATATATAGGTGTATATAAATGATATTTTATTAGGAAAGCCTCACTCATTAGCATAGGTTTGCATTAAACTCACAGCAATCCTCCCACTGCAGTCTCCCAACTATGTGGGTTTGTGAGGTATCACCCTGACCAAAACCAAACTTTCTTTAGACAATTATTTCATAGATATTGAATTTATAGTGTTGAACAAGGCTACCATATAATGAATAATATATTGTAGAAAGAAAAAATAACAAACAATAAGTAAAATATGTATGTTTACACTTCTAAATTTAAAAGTCTGAGTGGTGTTTAGCAAATGAATGACTCGGTCCTTGGGGCAGAGAAAGGTTTTCTGAATTTAAGATGGTTTTTACCCAAGCTAAATAAGGTTGAGGAATAAAGCAGAGAAAAGGAGCAATTCTGGATGGGAAAGAGCATGTACACTGAAGGAGCTGAAGACATTGCAGGAAATAAATGTCCAGGGTCGCCACATGTATTAACCAGAGTCTTAAAGATTTTAAGAAAAATTCCATTTGGAAGAAATTCAGTAAATATCTTACAGAACTGATAACTCGTTCTCTAGAAAGAAGAAATATTTTAGGAGGGAATAAATATCCATTGTCATCCAGTTTTACTATTTTTGTGCTGTTTTGGTTACAAAAGCATTCTTTAAAAATAAATACATATTCAACACTGAGTTTGGGGTTTTAGCCAGCACATACATTTTCGCGATTGTTTATCTTCACTCCTAGCTGTCTTAGCCTTAGGATTGTCATAATGATTTTCTCTATTATTTTATGCTTTAATGCTACGTCATAGACATGTTGATGTTTTTGTGCCTATTAATTTGCTATTTAGAAAATATTTTATAATGTTTGGTGAAATTGTTTGTAATTTATATTAATTCAAAATTAAAATTTTATGTTTCCTCCTCTTATTATTTTTGTCAATATTACTTTAGTTTTAATTGTGCCTTTCCTGTTATGACATTGTTACATTTTTATATAAAATATAGTTTTATGGAGCATGAGTTTATAAAATAAAAAGATATAAACTATATTATTGTGTTATGAGGAGCGGCGGGCTACATTCCTGCCGCCCCGGCTCCCGGCTGCCTGGCTAGCTTATGCCCCAAAATAATTACACAGAAACTGTATTCTTTTAAACACTGCCTGGCCCATTAGTGCCAGCTTCTTATTGGCTAACTCTCACATCTTGACTAACTCATTTTTAATAATCTGTGTAGCACCACGAGGTGGTAGCTTACCAGGAAAAATCTTAACCTGTGTCTGTCTCAGAAAGGAGAATCATGGCGACTGCCTTATTCAGCTTCTTTCTCCCAGAATTCTGTTCTGTCTACTCCACTCACCTAAGGGCTGGCCTATCAAAGGCCAAGCATTTCTTTATTAATTAACCAATGAAAGCAACAGATAGATGACACTCCCACATCATTATTGATTATGATTATTTACGCCTTAATCATAAGTTAACTGCATTATATTTTCAGACAAATAAATAGATAGGTAGGTGGAAGAAAGAGAATGGAAATCAGGGAGTATTTTTGATTAAATTTATAAATTACTTTATCTGTAAATAATTAAGTACATGAGGTTTTTTTTCTTTTTAACCCTTTATAGATTGCTAAATTTTCTATGTAACATTCATATACATAGAAAACAGATAAATAAAAATTGAAATATGAAAAAAATCTGTGTGGTTCAGGTTCTTTATTACATTAAGGAAAGAGGCATCACTGTGTCTATGTGTAATCACTGCCTTCCCATTCCTGATCAGTTGCTTTGCTGATCTTGCTGGCATGGTTCTGGTGGTCTAGTCTTAATGTACTTTTTTCCATTTTGAGACAGGGTGTTATATGGCTTCAAACTTGCTGTGTAGCTGAGGATGGTTTTGTGTAGTGATAGGAGCGGCGAGGCTGCGTCCCTGGCACCCGGCCGCCCGCATGGCTAGTTTATGCCCAAAATAATTACACAGAAACTGTATTCTTTTAAACACTGCCTGGCCCGGCTAGTTCCAGTTTCTTATTGGTTAGCTCTTACATATTGTTCTAACCCATTTCTAATATTCTGTGTAGCCCACGAGCTGGCTTACCAGGGAGGATCTTAACCTGCATCTGTCTGGCGTGGGAGAATCATGGTGACTCCTGACTAAGCTTCTTTCTCCCAGCATTCTCTTCTGTTTACTCCACCCACCTATGGGTTGGCCTATCAAGGGGCCTAGGCAGTTTCTTTATTAATAAGAAATCACTCCCACATCAGTTTTGAACTTCTAAACCTCAAGTCTCTGTCTCTTGAGCACTAGGATGATAAGCAATGCACCACCAAGCCTGATTTTACTCAGCACTGGGAATCAAATCTAGGCCTTCGTACACAGCAGGCAAGCATCCTACTACCTAAATTAAACACCTACATATCCTGTATTTTGTGATTCTTTTTTGAACCCAATTTTATTAGAAATTGTGTGTGTGTGTGTGTGTGTGTGTGTGTGTGTGTGTGTGTGTGAGTGAGTCTTCAGTTCAGGTTTTCAGTGTGTTCTGATAGCATGGAATTGATTTTGCATATTAACATTTTAAAGACATGACCAGTGTTGAACTTTTTTTTAACAAGGTCTCATTAGATAGTCTAGGCTAGCCTCAAACTCTAAGTGGCTTTATTGGCTTAGACTTCCAAACACTGAGTTTACAAGCATTTTCCAAGACACTCAAGTTAAACATCATTAAAATTAAATTTTCAGTTTGTGAAATTTGATGCAGTACAGGCACAAATTTATGTCCCGGGACACACATATGCAGGCCATTACTAAAACCTCTCAGATCAACAGATCTTTACAATCCCCTCCACTGAATTCCATGGCTCAGAGGTGAGTATCTCTATGTGAACTCTTCTCTGAATTCATATGCTCTTCTCATCTGTTCATTACAATAGTGCTTTCTAGGGACTGTTGTCTACTGTTAACATCCAGTCTTACTTCTGATTTTAGAGGAGCACAACCAGATGGCTCATCCTATATACGTGAGGAACTCATGCTCAAGGAGATTAATATTTTATATTTTCCTCAGCAATCAACTTTTTCAGCACATTTTTTTTTCTCTTTCAGAATTTGTACTATCCTTTTACTTCATGGAGATGCCATAAATGTGTGCTTGGGGGAGGGACAGTAGTACATGTACTTATATTTCTGATTGCTTGTTCATTGCCTTTTGAAAAAAAATCTGAAAAAGAAGGAACCGCATCACAATCTTTTTTTGCTACATTTT